CGAACTCTTTCAACCAGCTTACATTTAAATGTCCGTGGCGAGTGGCCAGGTGATCTGACCATTTTACCATCGGGGCTACACATATTGAATGCAACGTGTCCAACCTCAGCGGTCCGTGAATTGAGTTAAGCCTGTCTCTTTAACATTAACACGCTGCCGACCAACATTAACGTTATCTGTGTTGAAACCATACGGGTAAAGTATTTAGTTAATCAGAGTTTGGTTGGTGCTCGGTGTTGAGCTGTCGTCCCAGGTGAATGTGATGTTCGACCTGAGTAGATCAGCATTAAGCCATAGCGGAAGCAACAATGCAGACACATCAACAGTGAGGAACAATCTGTTACTGGAGCTAAGAGCAGGCTGTACAATGTGCCACAGTGAGGAAATAAATCCCTCTATATGCCCGTTTAAATGACCCTGGTGACTGTCGGGTTCTCAAAGGAAGGACAGTGTTGAAGTGTTGATAAGTGTGTCTGAGTAAGCTACAGAGAAACCTTTATTACCCAGTAGTGATGGTGCAGCTGACAGCTTGAGTTAGATATGTGTCCTAAGAGATGAACATTTGAGTATTAATCTGTTACTACAGTGTTCTTGTTTTGCTTGGGTCAATAAGATAAGGAGATTATTGGTGAATGGATTGTGTGGCCCTCAGAACAACAGCTGCTCTTTCATCTACAGCTAATGGGGATTCTGATAAACAAATGTCATCTATATAATGCTCAGAAGCCTAATTGATCTTACTTTAATACCAGTGGTATGTTGGTTTTAGCGTAAGGTTAATCATAAACTGAGACAAACCCCCTTATTAAAACTGAAAGCTGCCACAGTGTCTGTAGTCTCTGTAAACCACATCTTCACGTGAGTGCAGAATCTGTAGGCAGTGGACAAGAGTTAGGTATCTGAAGTTCTGGTTCCCTTTGTAGCCAGGGCAGTATTGACCAGTCATGTTTGTACGCGCTGTGGTTGCAAGCAGGGGAACACCTTTTGTAGGTCTGTCTGCATTCAGGTGGGTCTGTTGACAGAGAACAGCTGATATGTGGTCTCTCAACTCCAGCTCCAGTCTTGCGTATGAAGTTGCTTATTGGACTATAAATAATGGCCGGTGAACAAAAGAGCCAGTATTGGCCCAGATATCTGCTGGCTGCACCGGAAGCCCTGAAACGCTGGCTGTTAAACAGTCAGACGATTACTGCTGGTTTTTGAGAATGCATAGTACTTAATAAGAAACTACAATGTTCGATATTTACATGATATATGGCACTGACTTGGTTTATTTGCAGAGACAGTTCAATGTTTGCATTTTCTGAAAACTAAAAGGGTTAAATGTGGCTGCTGTAGCTGCCACATCAGCTGGAAGATTTATGTTTGTTTGAAATATTAACTATGGTTGAGCTTGTGTCACCTTACTGTTGTCTGGCAGAATAAATGTAGCTTCCTGTTAGTGAAGTATATTTTAGAGGTCTGCTTCTTTTGTTTTTGTTATTTAGGCTACAAGAGGACCCTCCAGCTGGGGTTAGTGGTGCTCCATCTGAAAACAACATCATGGTGTGGAACGCAGTCATATTTGGGTAAGATACTGATGCACAGCCTCAATATGGACAGAAATGTTTCCCAAATGCATGTCTGGTCATTTTGTGTGGGAAATGCAAAATGAGTGAACACTTTTTTTTTTCTCGATCCTCACAGCCCTGAAGGAACTCCCTTTGAGGATGGTAAGTGTCTCCCTGTGATCATGTACTGTGTTGTGTAGTAAGGCACATTATAACTTCACCACATCCAAACCCTCTGCTTTGAAAATGACTACATAGATGCCAGTTGCTAAACAACCCACTCAAATTGTGTTTTTCTACTTGTATTACGGTGATACTCCAACCAAGATCTAATTCAGGAGTATCACACACAACTCACTATGTAACTTAAATAATATGAAACGCACTGTCGTATTACCTTATAATCAAATAAGTGTCACAAATGAAAGTATTTCAACAGACACTGTCTTATTTAAAGTCATGTTTTTCATTTCCCCCTTTGAAGATTATTCCTGAGGAGTTTTCTACACTTGTTAAACCTGTAGTATACAACGTTAGAAGTCACTGCCTTGAAACATTCCTCCCCACACACACACAGGTGTCATGGCTCATAAATCATTTTTTGTGTGTCTTGTCTTTGTTCCAGGTACATTTAAACTCATTGTAGAGTTCACAGAAGAATACCCCAACAAACCCCCCACAGTACGATTTGTGTCAAAGATGTTTCATCCAAATGGTAGGAATATTGTCTTATCACCTGGCACGTTGCAGTGAGGATATCGGCGGGTAGTGTATAATTGTGTTTTTATCCACAGTCTATGCAGATGGCAGTATATGTTTGGACATCCTACAGAATCGTTGGAGTCCCACTTATGATGTCTCCTCTATTCTCACATCTATCCAGGTAAATAGTAAACAACAATACAGTAATAGATGTTAAAGAATGCAGGCACACCTTATCTTACAGTGACATCAAACAGAGAAAACAAACCCTATCTGCAACTCTGAGAAGCTCTAACCACCACATATTTGGCATTTTGACTATATATCAGAATTGCTATACAATTTTCTATTGTTAGACAAAAAAAATCACTGATTGATAAAGTAAATCACTAGGAAAGGGCAATTTTAAATTTAATGCTAAGGTCTACAACTAATTATTTTCACTATTTGTTAATTTGTTTGATTATTATCTTGATTAATCAATTGTTAAATACATATATTTACTTATATTTATTGGTTGTTCCATATACTATTTAGTGGTAAAAATAATTGACTACATAAGAAAACAAAACTAAAGCCCAGTTTAAAAAACAAATGCCAACATGTGAAGCCGTGTAACTACGATGCAGAGGAATGGGTTGATGCAGTGAAACATTCTCACCTTCCTCGTTTATCTTCCTCTCCCCAGTCCCTGCTTGATGAACCAAACCCCAACAGTCCAGCCAACAGCCAGGCAGCTCAGCTGTACCAGGAGAACAAGCGGGAGTACGAGAAACGTGTGTCTGCCATTGTAGAACAAAGCTGGAGAGACAGTTGACCTGACAATCGTGATAGCTGCTCTCTCCATTGTTAAGCTGTGTGTGCTGCAAGTTTTAGTGGAGTACCTCTTATTTTTTGGGCCCCCCCCCCCACCTTTTTGATTTTAAGCTTTTATGCACTTTACCTCCAACCTCCCGTTATAAAACATTTGTTTTTTTTGCCCACCAAGAGGGATTTATTTTTTCTATTCTATCCCCCTTTTCCAGTCCATCAGGGGAACTGTGCTGAATCTTGCCTTGATGTTTTTTGTCAGTATGGACTTGTGGGCCATTATCCCCAAATTTCTGGTGTGTTCTAACTTGCTGTAATAACTCCCCATGACTAATGATGTTAAATGTCTTGGAGGGTGTATTAATCAAATCATGGGTCCTATTCTGTTGTGCTCCTCATCTTTTCTGTCAGTTTGTCTGGGCTCCAATGTGATCATCCTACCTTTCCTTGGGAGAATGAGCAGCCTGAGCATCACGGACTACAACTAAATCAGACATCTTTACACCGAGTCTTTTGCTGTGTTGTGAACTCTGTTACATGCATGACAGAAAGAGTGTATTCACGTTCCTGTTCAGTACTCATGTATATAAGAAACCTGCAACTGAATTTATGTACAGATTTTGCACTGGTTGTCCCCCATGTCATTTTTTCAGCACTTGTAAATAAAAAAAAAAGGCAAATTCATCCTCATGTGGGAAGCGTTTTATTTGTATTTGATGTAATTACTTCATTTGCTTTGACTGGAGTTAATACTTACGCTGAGTTTGTATGAGATTTATGTTAAGAAGACCCAGAAATCAATCTGAGGTAAACCATGGCTGTGTATATAAATATAATCCATCTATTTAATAACGGCACTAAATAACATGGGACTTAAATCCTTGCTAAGCCAGTAATAATTACCTGCTTGTCATGGCCGATAAAATAACCAATATTTATACATTTATAACCTGTAGTTTTGACACACCGGAGAGTACAAAAGTTTAGCAGACAGATGATTTAATATTCCGCATCTCTGATGATATCTGACATCTCTATCAACAACAACAACAACGAACTCACTTTTATTTTTTCTAGTAAGGTTAAAGCTATCAATTGTTTTGTATAAGAATTAAAGACAAATTATTGATATCAACCAATAATTTATCGGCTGTAATTTAATTATAACAATAATTTTTATTGGCTGATAATTTATCTGTCCCAATAATTCTTTTGCATCTATGTTAGAGCAGTTTATAATGTGAATCTTTAATGTTTGTTTCAGCTCGTATTCAATAATTCAGAGGAATATAGGCTCAGTTGTCTGAAACCATGTGTTTACTATATAGTGCACTATATTTACACCATTTTGTTTGAACGGTGTGTGAAATGTTATACTCCACATTGTAGTTCACATTTTCAATTGTACGTTAATACAATACTGTACTAAGTTACAGTCCTTTTAGTACACAATGTCCTCATGTTACTCTCTCTGCTGCAGCTCTGCAAGCAAAGTCTCCACTGAAATACCATAAATACAGCTTGTAAGGTAATTAATTGTATTGTGTAACTTAGACTGCTGGAGCCTCATATTAGCGTTTGCTGAACTTTACAAGTCAGAACACAGAACATGGACTTTGGATTTTGTCCCCCCATCACATACATTCCTGGCCAGTACTGACAGGTTGTATTAAGAAATGTATGAATAAACCTAACCTTTAAACCTGCAGTAACTAACACTTTTAACAGAGCAACATTATCATTTATTTGAAGTTGTGTTTCTGACCACTTGATGAATTTAAGTCCAATATTGACTCTTTTAGCTGTTTTTGGTCTCTACTGTATAAATATCTGGCTGTAGAGCTGCTTTATTCACCACTTTGTTCACCAGCAAGTGTGCGTCTGTGCACTGCGTTTCTTCACTCGACCCTTAATGATGTCATAAACATAAAACTCTTCTTTGTTTAGAAAGGTTTTATTTATTATTGAGCATATGTGATGGAGTGGGAGTGTGCATGCATGATGACAACAACGGGGGAAGTGCATGACAGCTGGTTACATGCAGGTTGTATTGTACTAAATCCATTCTTTACAAATGATCCTAACCAGGAGGGAGCGATCTTGTTTCTCAGCTATGCAGCAGTTATAAAAATAACTATTTACAAGTTCCCTCTCATCTTTTTTTTTTTACTTTTTAAAACAGCGTTGACAGTAAATGGAAACAAGGGCGGGACATAAAAATACATATTTACTCAACAGTGTTCATTGGGCCAGACAGAGCGAGCTACCTGTTGTATGCCCTCTCCTTCTTGGCCCTCTCTAAGGCCTTGTCCATGGTCTTCTCATTCTCTCCTCTACACTTGGGGCAGTACCACTTCCCCTTGGGCTTATGATGGAGCCCGACACAGGAGAAATGAAACCACTCAATGGGGCATTCGTCGTTGTCGCAGCCGATCATCTCGCCGTAGGACACCTGCTCACACAGGCAGTACGTTGGCTCGTCTGGATCGATGGGCAGGTCTGGGGGGGACACTTCTCTCTCAGACTTCCCTTTTGACCTTTTCTTCTTCTTGGAAGATGTTTTGGCTCTCTTTTCCCGGGAGGCCCCCAGACCCACTTCCTCCGTGTGGTCCAGACCCCCGTAACTTTCCCGATTTTCGCCATTTTTCTGACGTCTTGAGCGTTTCCCTCCAGCCTTGTCCCCGCCGCCTGAGCCTGGGGTAACCTCGTCGCGCTTCTTGTCATGGTGGCCGGTTTTGCCTGGAGTGATGGTGGCCGATGAAGATGACGACATCATGGACGCTGCGGTGGTCGTCATGCACGTTGTTGTGGGAACGTGGCTCTCTGGGACTTCTTGGGAGGAGAGGAGAAGTTCAGAGTGCCAGTCTATTTGTCGCGTTCGGTTCTCAACCAACTCCACCTGAAACAAAGAAAGTTCATATTTTAGTGTAAAGCTCTACCTGCTGTCGTTTGGAGTACATGTGGACAACAATTAGCTCATTGCCTGCCTTGGATAAATCATATGTTTTGAAGATTTTCTATGTGAAAAGAATTTAATTTCTGCTGGAAACAAACTTTGAAAAATATACACATTTATTTCCTTAATTTATCAGACTAACTCCTAAAATAAAAGGTGAATGCTTATATTCAAAATGTTACCCAAAATATCAGGTGAACACAATCCAGTAAAGATGCATCTTCTTTCAACTTTGACAGACCAAACAAATGTGAATGAGAAGGTTAAATATTGTAAATTAATAACCCTCTAGTGTGTAACTCTAATAAAAAGATTCAGTATGCGGCTCGAGGCTTGCAAATGATCAAATTAAGTGTTCACTGGTAATTACCAATCGCAGTGAAGTTCAAATGTATGCAAAATGGAAAACCCTAATACACTCCAATACAAAAGGGCCTTTTAGCGGACTCATAAATCCTTTTTTCCTGTTTATTTACTCGGGGTAGATTTTCTGAGCACACATGCTCCAGGGAAGCACTTATACACACTCACACCTGGAGGTTTGCCATAGAGCAGTTCTGCCGGAGCAGCTGCAGGGTGTGTGTGTGTGTGTGTGTGTTACGTACCATTTGACCAGCAATCTGGATCTTCTCATCTCCGAGCTCTTGACTGCGAATCAGCGCCCTCTGAATGGATAACTGAAGCTTTCTCCTCTGAAGTGAGTCCGACTCCCGGCGATACCGTTCATAAGCATCATCAAGCTCCTTCAGAACATCTGCCAGAGAAGAAATTGAGAGGGGGAAAAAAAATCAAGCAGGAATAAGAATACTGAAAGTACACACAAAAGAAAATGATTACTTGTCATAGTACATCATTTTCTTGACCGTCCATTATTAACTCTTTTCCATACACATATGCTGGCTCGGCGCGAGTGAATCAAATAAATAAAATGTTGTTTTCTTACTACTGCATTATAATATTTGTGAAGTTTAAAAGGGTTATCAAACACCTGGAGACCAATCTGTCGGTTTAGTCTCTGGTTAACAAACTGTTGATCAAGCATGCCACACGGCTAATACAGGAGGCGAGACTGACTGCTTTGGGGGGGATGGTAATGAAACTGCTGCGAGAGCACAGTGGTTGCAGTGAGGCTCGATCTAGTGAGAGAGGTTAAGAGCCGGTGGGTTCAGACATGCAGCTACAATGTACATTATAGCTTTTATTTTTATTAACTTGTGAAGTGTTCGGTTTGTACACTCGGGAGGTATCTGCTAATTTACCTGGATTAATGAGAAATAAACTGGAAATAACTTAGATGCAGGAGTGCAGTTTTTTTGGTTTTAGATATAGATATACATCATTTATTAATGTAAGTCAACTCTCCATATTTGCTGAATTGCGTGCTCACCTGCAATGCACATTCAAGACAAAGACCATATTGCTGTATTACCTGTTGACCACTGTACACTCTCTCTAAAGTACTGCAGAATTCCTGTTTACTCAATATCCTACTAAACCAAACAGCAGCGACATACACATTTCTGCTCACAGTGTTTGACATTCTCAGTTACGGTATCTGTAATGTAAATCGATTCATGTTATCTATGTTACTATATGATTTGTGTAACCTCTAGAAAGACTAGAAAGAGCAGATCAGTGTCTGCACTGTACAGCTTCTTTTTTTTTTTTTACCTTGATACTTGGCATCAATTTCCTTCATGAGGGACACACTCCTCTGCAAATCAAAAGGTAGTGACTCCACCAGGTCCAAATACTCCTCTACATAATTCACAACAACGTGGCTCGGGTCTCCATTGGCTGGGTTCAACATTGCGGCTCCAGGACGCTCCAACAGCTGCACCTGTTAACAACAAATCACTATTACAGTTTGTATTGTAGCTGTAAAGTTAGTGCTCCTGCAGCTTCAAAGGCTCAACGGTGCAGGAAAAAAAAAAAGAAAAGTAATTTTGTTTTCGTAAGTATTGTGATAAGTATGTCTTGTTTCCCAGTATAAATTATGTGAAACCAGTACGGAAATATCGACCACAGTGAAAGGGGGGAGGGGGGCAACAACCCAGCCATCCTGAACATTGCTACGTGTACTATAGAGCTGCCAACAGAGAGCTCACTGGTTCGGGACCGACGGAAAACAACTGAGCTCAAGGAGAATATAACCACATAAGAGTGTCTGCAGCAGCACTCGGGCTCTTCTGAAAGGTCGGAGGAGACAACAGTAACAGTAACGTTATCCAGAACTCACGGTAACACTAGGAAACCTTATTAAAGACGTGGACGCGGAATAATAAGCTGCCACATTAATGTGAAATTCACCACGAACGAGTTCACTGCTGAGTTTGAATGTTTGACTTCAGTTCAGTGTTACTCACGGTGGCCAGCTAACGTTACTGGCGAGGTTGCGTTCACGTCCAGTAACGTTACACCAACTTTACCGTCTCCGCAGGTTTGAGTTGGACTGCTCAGATACACAGATATATTATATAAATGAAACACGAGTTTACCGCTCAATCAGACCACCGTCAGCTTCAACGCGGAAGGTTTTAATAATGTGACAAACACGGAGATCAAACGTGAGAGGGACGTTTCACTCCTCTCACCCACGACGTAAACAATCACAGAACACGTTAATAAACAAACAGGCAAACCACACACAGACAAATGACCGAGAGATGCGGACATTATAAGCGATCATTGTGACACTTTACGCGGTCTTACGTCCATCGTGTTCGCTTCAATGTAACTGTTAGCCAAATTAGCTTCTGCTAGCTTTTCGCGCATAACGTTGCTGAACGAGCCGCGGCACCAACCACAGCCAGAACAAACATTCAACACAACTTCACTAAACGTACAGAGGTGGCTGCTCACAGAGGGAGTTACCTGCGTGGATATCGGTGGTCTTTCTGCTGTGTTTGACCCTCCGTGGTGCCGCTCCCGGTCCCGCTGCTACCGCTAGGTCGTGTGTAAAGAGCCCAGCTAAGTTAGCCCAGCAGCGGCTAACGTTAGCGCTCAGAGCCCGTTAGCTGTGCGCATGTACAGCACGACCCCGCAGCTATAGCAACCGGACACAGGTTCGATACCTTCACATACGCTTCACCTCAGCAGCCTTGTGTGATGAATTGTTTCTGTAACAATACGTTTTATATTGCCACTCCGTGATACTCGCTCAATACCAGAATTTGGTTCGCTTTGACGCGTAACGTTACAGTGTCTGCTCTCATAAGACATAACTGTGGTTGTTTGTTCCCATGTTCTTAGTCAACATTGCCATCATGTGGCAACAAAGGTATGTTGCCATAATGTAGGCTGGTGTTTTTGTCAGTGGGGGCCACCAGATGAAATAAAAAACATAAAAAAAAAACCCCCACACAAAACCGACTCATTCACAAACTATTCTTATAATGGAGAACATAAATGCTGAATCTAATAAAATGATGATGGAATTATTATTGCATTAATAAAAGTAAATTTTTTACATTTGCTGTCATAGGAAATCTTGCAAAAAAATTGAGGCCCAGACATAAGCTAATGCTATTTGGGTATGCTTGAGAAACCCCTGATGTACCACATCCAAGAACTTGTTCAAAAAGTCAGACAAAATATTATTTATTTCAAAAACAGGTTTCTGGTTTACTGTGGCCCTGTTTGTCTTACCATCTCAGTCTCTTTGGTGGGCTGTGAAAAATGTAGCTTTAGTGAATCAATTCATAATTCTACTTGACAGATGGAAGACAGTGTTTGTTGGTTTTCTTGCAGAGTTCATTTAATACACCTAAAACGTCAGTGCACCACATTTTAAGTGCTGTCTTTGAAAGCATAGTCCACATCTTCATTCAAATTCAGCTTGATGAGAACATTTTCTACTAGCCCACCCGTAGGTTATATTAACAGCTTTTAAGAATGCAAATCTGAGTATGTATTTATAGCTTTTAAAACTATTTATTATAGTTGGCCTTTTCAGCTTTCAAACAACTTTTTGAAGGCTGATCCAATCTCCTGGATCATGTCCGATGTAGTAGTGGACCTGCCATGTCGCTGGAACGCTTGACTGTTGCACTGTCTTGTAAGAGAGCAGGCCCCGTATGCTGCAACCACCGATGGATTCACACTGGAGGACGACATATACATAAACATATATTTAAATCTGTAAAATATTACACTTTGATTAGTTAATCTACATAATAAGTTAATTGACTAATCGTTTCAGCTCAACAACAAACAAACGTCCTACATTCTAGTCAACTGAATACCACTCGCAAAAATGCTACATGCATGTTTGGTTTGTTCTTTCTGGGCACGGAGGTTCAACATGGCAGACTCTGTAGAAAAGACCCTGCTCCCTCTGTAGACTGCTCATTAAGGTAACAAATATTATTTTCAGGTGATTATACACTAATGAATACATAGTTATGGACATTATATTCAATCTCTGCCAACAGATGCTCCTAAATGTTACACACTGGACCTTCAAAACACAATGCAAAAAACAGCCAATCATGTGTTCACCTTCTCAATAGTCCAGCTGCAGAAGCAGCATGGGCCCAGTGTGCCAAAACTCCCAAAGATCCAGATAGAAGATCACCCTGTCCACCACATCTTCTCCCACTGCCTTCAATGCTGCATGAGATCACTGGAAACAAGAAGTCACAGTCACCAAACAAAAACAGCTCTGAAGCTTCTCAGAAATATAAATATTGCTTTTATACTGTATATGGGCTTTATACTAACCCTTACTGCCATCTGTAATGATATCCTGTTCTCCTTTTAGCACCAGAGTGAGGTTGCCCATGGCTACACTGAGCTGCAGGACATTGCGTTGGTGATCATTGCTGTCCATGGGCTCATGGTGCTGAGACAGCAACACACACACACACACACACACACACACAGACAAGACAAATACATTAACACACAGAAGTATATGTTATACGCCTTCAGTTGGTGAACTGAACCGAGTGAACTCTGCAGAGAGACCCACCAGTGACTCGTACAGTCGGGTGAACTCCATGAAGTTAGGTGTAAGGATGCCCTTCGGATACCCTTGAATGACAGATGGTTGCTGTGTTACTAGCCATAAGCCGTCCTGTTAAAAACAAACTTTCAGGGTCAGTGATTGTGTATAGCTTTGCAAATAAAAACCCATCTGTTCAATAGCTTAAACCTGAGACTTACTGCGTCAATGACTATAGGGATATCTCTGGCTTTAGACTTCTCTATCACCTCCTAAAAGAGACAGGAAAAAAGTGTTACAATGTTTAATTAAATGTAATGTTCTCTTTAGGCTACACTAAACAAAAGCTTTATGTGCACATATACATGGTTTCAAATTGGGCTACAAGTCCAACTGTACAGTAAAATGGCCCTATTTACCCGAAAGACAGTAGTTTCACATGTATGTGTTTCTTTACCCACAATAGACTGAAAGATTCAAGTTCAAAGTGCCACTAATATTATAAGCAGCAGTGTACACAGGCTTCTTTCAGAGAAAGATGTAATCACCAGTACGAGGAATTTCTCAAATTTCTCTGAAATTCTCACAAGTTTATAAAGCTATGAAGTTACAGATTTCACCATTATCAGTCACAGGGAGCCACAACATGAGGAGTTGTGTTGTTGCAGCTTAAAATCCGTCACTGTGTTCTAACAACTGTTAAAAATGTGACTTTAGCTCAGTTTTGTGGTTATGCACAAGCAGATGGCCTAGGAGTTCTGAGTGCAAGGGAGAGTGAATATGTTCCACATGCCTTGGCTGTTTTCAGTAACAAGTCTTCTCTCCCTAGACCTGGTCCCACCACAAGGCCGTGCAGTCTTGGGAGCCATTTTTCTATCTCTTCGACTGCGTTAGGACTGTCCCTTCGTAAACACAGACACAAACAAAGACACACACGTCAGATGTGTTCAAATGCTCTTACTTTCCAAAAGCTATTTGCTCTTTTATGCCTTGTGCAAAATAATCCTGATTTTTGTTGATAAAAAGTCTTGTGAATCAATTTTACCATGGTAACCACACACACACAAACACAAACACACACACACACACACACACACACAAGGTGAAGACCAGGAGTTAAAAAAAGGGATGTGTACAAGCCTCAAAATTGTGTGTTGCACAAATTTTGGAATATCATAGCAGGAAACGCTCAGGTGTATCAACTGCATCCCATTTAGGTGAGTTACAGGCTCCTGGTATTGTACACGCTGGCCCACTGTCCTATTCTCGCTTACTGAGACACTTAATAAAACTGAGCCCTCTTTGACAAAATGTGTTTCAGCAGTACTTTTTCCTGCTATGACAAGTTAACGACGGCTGGATACCAGGACCCAGGAACGAGTTCACCTGAATGGAATGCAGCACTAGTTTATTTTTTTATACTACGAGTCAAAAAATACCTGTTCTGTCACATGTCAGGAGACATTCATCTGAAATTGTGGTTGTGGGTGGTGGTAAAATGTTCAGCTGAAAACATTACTATAACTTGACTATGAAGCAAAACAACTCTTCTCAAGGTAATTTCTTTACAGTTGTTCCTAATCACTCAAGGTGATTCTACAAGTATACACAGTGTGCTCGTGGCTTATCATAACACATTCATGGTGGCTTTTTGTCAGCTTCAAGCGCACTAAGTGCACTGACCGAGGACAAACATATCGATTTTTCACTGGAAGTTCTTTGACCCCCAGAATTCACATTGACAGAGCATGATGGAAATTCATAGTTGAAAAGTCTATCTACAGCAATATAATTATACAAACAAAAACAAACTAATTGTTAGTGGCAGCTGAAGAGTGACAGGGTTGAGGCCTCAGCTCCACCAGGTGAGCTATCCAGGTTGCTGGCTTAAAGACAACAAAGAGCTTACAGGCATTATGGCAAGCCATAAACCAATTCTCCACTCAGAGAATGACAGTGAGAAAGCACCATCATAACAACGCACAGTGCATTCATGCAGGTATTTATACTACACTACTACGTGTGTCACTAAAGTTTGAATTCAATGTGATTTGTGAGTACATAAAATCAACCTAACTTAGTTCTTCTATAAATGTTCAGATTTACAACTCCAATGAAAGAATGGTGTTTGGTCACAATGACATTCAGATAACAATTGTGCTGAGTGGATCTGTACTTACAGAACAGGGTGAACGATGAGCTCAGGACTGTATGATTTGATTACAGTTGCAGCATCTTTGGTGCAGAACACATGAGACAAGTCAGCCCCCTTGGAGACAAGAAAAAGGTACCGTCAGTCCACCAGAACTAGACTTTAACTAAAACAATATAATTTCATTAATCTGTCAGACGCATGAACAGAATGACTGCTTACCACTTTTAATGCTGAGATGGCAGCAAAGTATGGAGCTCCAGTATAGCTTCAGAGAGTGGACATGAAAAGAATTAGGGAGGAAGTTCTACAGAGTAACAAATTTAACTTTTGTTTGGTGAATGATATATTGAGGAAGAGCGGTTTGTTTGTGCAACGTACTCTTGGCATCCTCCAATGATCCCAATACGTCCATCTTGTCCCTTGTGCTTTTTGGATGTCAGTGGAGGGACAATGCTTTTAATCAGTGAGATGAGGTCATCGTCCATGCCTCTGTGTGACGTAGACCCCAAACTGTAGTAGCGTTCAAACACTGAGGAAATAAACAAAAGTGTTTAAAGTGTGGAATACTTGTTTGGCCCAAGTTTTTATCTTCCACAGACACAAAATGACAAAACATTTGGCAACAAAAACAACATCAAAACTGACATAACAATGTGCTGTAAATGAAGATAAATGACCAAACCACCTAACTAAAGAAAACCAGTGTAATGGAGTGACGGCTCCATCAGCCTTCACATTACAGCGGCTACGCCTTTAATTTAGTTTTCTCTTCACACATTACCCCTCGAGGCTGCACACATGACACCGAAACTAATACCTAGTGCCTGCGGATCGGGGTTCAAAAGTTGACCTTGTTGGGTGAAACAGTCTGTCTGGGGTGAAGGGCGTCTGACGTGACCGGATTGGCCACGTGTACACGACGGGGAGGCACTGGAGAACACAGGAGCACGGGTAGGAGGACCCGTTTTGGAGGGTGTGGCCGCGGAGCTGGGCCTGGAGGAGGAGATGCTGGAGAACATCTGGCCGAGCATCTGAAGCATGTGCAGCTCTCTGGTGTGTTCGGCTTCTCTGCGGCGGTCCTCTGCCTGCAAGCGCTGCTCCTCCATGCGGTAGAAGTTCTCCTCGGCCTGGGTACTCTGCTCCAGGAACTGCTCCATTAGTTTCTCCATGGGGAAGTTGGCACGCCGCTTCCTCTGCCGCTTAGGTGTTCTGGACGACAAATTACTGGCCGGCTGGCTGCTGTTATGTGGCCTCACTGGAGCGCCTGAAGTGGAGAGGGGTGAGACTTTATGTGAAGCACCTTTTGGGCATACACAATCAGATCATCAGGATTAGTAATGATAAATAAAAAACACATCCGACCAATTCATGCGTACAAGGAGGGGGCACTTACTGTTATTGCCCACTGTCACTTTAACTGGAATAGATATGGGGACAGTTGGGTACTCCAACTTCACTTCAGTCTCTGCAGGATAAGGACACTCCCCTGTGCTCTCCGAGTATACATCCTGAGCATCCTCTCCATCCTCCTCCAGGCCGTCCACGGCCTCCTCTCCTCCGGCCCCGCTGTCTATGAACTCCTGGGGGTCAAGAGCGGGCCGGTTGCTCAGGATCCTCTCCATGGTGTCATAAAACTTACAGATCTTGTGATACTGCCCGTTGTTCCGCAGATTGCCTTCCTTCGCTAACAGGTACTGTCTCTTGAGGCTTTTGATCCGCACCCTGCATTGTTCCGGTGTCCTCTCAAAGCCCATCGCCGCCAGCCGCCGGGAGACGTCGCGGTACACGAAGCTGTTTCGGAAGTTTCCATCCAGCGCCGTCTGGATGTCCTGCTCCCCCCAGATGTTCAACAAGGTCCTCGTCTCCACGTCCGACCACAGGAAGCCCCGCGTTGTGTTGGCTTGCATAGCGGATCCAAGCTCACAGTAACCCTCCGCCAGCAGGAGTTGAATGGAGATGTTGACACTGCGGATTATGATGGACGTCTGGTCTGGATCTTTGCTCCTCGCTGCATCAAAGCCGCGGGGCGCCGCTAACCCCGAACAGCGTCAACAGCGACAACTGGCCATGTAACGTTAGGCAGCTCGGGGGGGGTTGTTAGTTGTAGTTTTTAACACGGGAACCATCACAGCAGCTTGTAAAGATCAACTCTGTGTGCTAGCTAAAGCCTAGCCGTCTATGTTTATCCTTTTACGTCGATAGCAAAATGCGTAGCGTAGTACTTTGAAATAAACTGACTGGGGATCGGTGCCCGCGAGCCCCCTTCGCTGCCTCAAGCGTCATTGGGGAAATTACAGAACTGACCTCTGATCAGTCCTCTGAGGGGAACTTCACCTTTCTCCGCCTGCTTCTCCGCCCATGCTAGGTGTCTGCGGGGTCCTAGTGACCCTGGTTACACAACCAACTACCCGTCAACTCCTCCACCAACATGAGGAAAACAGGCACCATGAAGCGTTATATAACCACGGATAGCTTAGCTAACGGCAATGAAATAATAATAATTTCACATTTTCCTTCACTTTACCTTTCTCATTCAAACAGACCAACGTGGCGACAACCGACAGCGCAACTGTGATAAAGCAAAAGGCGAACATGTGAGTCTGTGGCGGCGTGTTGTGATTCATTCTCGGCTCTACCTGCAGCCACCGACCCACGGAGCTCTTCCACGAGTAGAAAGCCCACCCCCACTCTGGTTGCGGCTGTAACACCGTGCTTCTTACCTAAACTAGCAGTGCGTTTGAGCGCGGACAGCTGTACAGGAATGAGTCTGGTCATGAGGCGCTCTGAACAGACATACAGGAAGGTAACAGCTTATGGTGCCTTTAAAGGCTCCTCGGACAATCCTACATCCTCCTGGTTGTCAACAATCGAGGTGTCAGCACAGCGGAGCAACCAAAGCGGAAGTACCTTGAAGCTGCACTTCGTCTAATGGCCACTAGATGTTGGATGGAACCATTGACAGGATAAATATAATATAATATAATATA